GTGGGTGGGTGGGATAGGTGGCCTCCAGGGGCCCCACAGGGGCCCCAATCAGGGGGCCCAATCAGGCGCATGAGTCCAGAGGCCCCTTCCTCCCATTTAGCCAGGCATTCTCTATGCAAGGGGCTTCTGGACTCATGCGCCTGATTGGGACCCAGTTATGAAGCAGTGGGGAGGGTGGGATAGATGGCCTCAAGGGACCCCACAGTGCCCCTTCCTCCCATTTAGCCAGGGCTAACCCAGGCATTCTCTACGCAAGGGGCCTCTGGACTCATGCGCCTGATTGGGACCCAGTTATGAAGCAGTGGGCAGGGTGGGATAGATGGCCTCAAGGGACCCCACAGTGCCCCTTACTCCCATTTAGCCAGGGCTAGCCCAGGCATTCTCTACGCAAGGGGCCTCTGGACTCATGCGCCTGATTGGGACCCAGTTATGAAGCAGTGGGGTATGATTAAGTGGGCACATGCTATTTGGGTGATGCTGCATTTGGCAGGGGATGCTGGGAGCTGCAGTCCAAAAAAAGGAAACGCAAGGTCCTGAATAATAATATTATTAATAACAACAACAACAACATAATAACAACAACAACAACAACAACAACAACAACAGGAATTATTATTATACGGAGATAAAAAGTGGGACATAAAGACTTCCGGTAGCGGCAAGATGGCGGGTGCCACGGTTTGTTGGAGCTCCTCAACTTACCGTTCCTGTTGTTACCCTTGGTAGAGCCTTAGGCTTAGGCTCCCCCAACCTAACAGCGAGAGGCAGGTTGGAGCGTCCAGCTGGTGGGCACTGGATGTCGTGAAGTTGTTTTTCCAACTCGACAGTGTGCTTAAACACCGGTTGCGCAGGGAACGACAAGGTTACCCGACAGACCAAGCTGTACGGGTTTGCACCAGCCGCTATTTCGAGCTAAAAATTCTCAAGAAGCAAATAAATGAAGAAAGAAAAGGAGCCTGGGCAGCCTTGAACATCGTTGGGCAAACCAGGAAACTCATAACCCCGGGGAAGCAACTATTGAAAAGCATTTATCTCTTACTATGTGTTATAAACCGGGCCTCCTCCCGGATAAGAGGTGGGACGAGCGGTGAGAAGGCAGCGCGGTGGAACAACGCGGAACAACGTGGTAGCAAGGCGGCGGACCGAGAACTGAACTGAAAGTAAGAAAGTAAGAACTGAAAGCAAGAACCAAAAAGAGCTGAAAGCTGAAAGTGAAAGCGAAAGCGGGAAAGCTCTCCAGACGGACGCCGAACGCCGAGCGCCAGCGGTGTGCTCAAACGCCCTGAAACGCCCTGAAACGCCGAGGGAGCAGAGACCCGAGAAAGCCGAGAGCCGAGAGCCAGGAGCGGAGAGGCTGGAGAATGCAGCGGAACTCCTCAAGAAGCCATAGGTTACGGCACAGAAGACCATAGAGCCACAGAGACCCAAAAAAAAAAAAAAAAAAAAGTAAAGAGAAAGAAAGGAGGAAAAAAGAAGAGAAAAAGAAAGAGTGCGAAAGTCGGAGCTATTGAGGTTGAGAAAGTCAGAGGCCACGGAACAAGCCATGGATTGAGCCGAGAGCAAGTTGCGGGCTGAGTAGCAGACCGGCGTATGTGGTGTGGTGACGGCGGGGCCCTTACGGCGATAGGAATACACAGTGAGTTAGCCCAACCGATCGAAAATACGCCGCGGAAAACAAGGAGAAAAATTGTAAAGAAACCGCAGGAGAGCCACAGTGGCACAGTCGATACCCGGAGAAGAAGAATAACACCGGTACAAATACTTAGCCGTAGACAGAGAGAAGAAACTCCTCGGATAAACTTTGAAGGACTCAAAGAGCTATCGCTTCACTAACAAGAAGCTGAGAAGTAGCGGATCTGAGAAAGTATCTGGAGTAAGCCCACGGTAGAAAGGTATTAGCGGAGAATGTGAGTAACTTAAAGTAATTTAAAAGGGAAAATAGTGGACTGTGGAAAGGGAATATCGAATATCCTTTATGATACACCCATAAGTTAGAGTTGTGCTTTTTGGAAGGGTGTAACAGTTGAGGGTTTGAACGATTGCTTTTGCAAAAAGAGGCTTAAGTGAGAACTTCCTATTCAAAGACATTGCTAAGACTCAAATCCTATGTACCTCCCTAACATCCCTCTCTGAAAGTTGCCTATCTGACTGATGAATTGTCTGGCTGAAACTGTGTAGAGACTGATGTATTTGATTGATATTGATTGATATTGTTCGAATTTGTTACCTCTGTACCTCCCTCTTACCCTCCCTGATAACTGAACAGGGAGTCTGTATTGCCTAACAATCTCAAACTAAAGTAAAGTGACGGGGTATTAGAGTGCAATGATGGCAACCTTATACCCTTCCCCAGCAGTTAACATCTGAGGGACGTTTACCTTGATTATTATTGTGTAGATCTGCCACTTCTGCATTTCCTTACTACCCTTCCCTAGCGATCCCCTTTTTTGTGGGGCAAACTTGCCAGTTGAACTTACAAGGATATTCACTATAATTATTTGAATTCTTCCCAGAGAATATCACCTTATGGCTCCTCCTTAGAAACATTGTTAAGAATCAAATCCTATGTACCTCCCTATTACCCCTCCCTGAAAGTCTCCTATCCGATCGATGAAATGGCTGGTTGAAATTGTGTAGAAACTGTTGTATTAGATCCATATTGTTTAAACTTGTTACCTCTGTATCTCCCTCTTACCCTTCCTGATAATCTGATTGGGAGTCAGTATTGTCTAACAATTTCAAATAGGAGTAAAGAGACGGGTTACTAAAGTGTGAGGATGGCAACCATACAAAAAAGCAAGATGGAAAAAGAAAAGGAAAAGGAAAAGGACAAGGAAGTCGAGAGAAAAACCCCACTCAGCACCAGAAAAGGCTCTCTGCCGGAGGAACCCACAGTTAGAGACCTTATGAAAGAACTACTCAAGATACAAGCAGAAATAAAGACAATCCAGACCAATCAAGAAGCTCAAAGTAAAACCAGCAAAAACGAGACTGAAGCAATGAAGAAAGACATGAAAGATTTGAAAGGGGAGCTGCAATCACTGCAATTGCTAATGAAGGAAGAGATGACTACGGTAAAAAATGAAGTAGGAAAACTAAAACAACAAATATAGACTTACTCAAAGACAACATCATAATTAAGAACCACCAAGAAATAGTAAAGAAAAAAGTGAGAAATGTGGAGGAGATGATAGACAAAGTCCAGAACCAGCAGGAAATGATGGAACTTAGAGAGAAAGAGACTCAACTCAGATTCAGAAATGTGATAGAAGAAGAAGAAGAGAACATAAGAGAAATAGTAGTAGATATGATTACGCACCTAACCAAAAAGACAAAACCAGATGTCGAAGTAGAAGTTGACAGAGTCTTCAGGATACAAACATCACATTCCAGGAAATTTAAAACCCCGAAAGACATCATTGTACAACTAATTAAGAGAAACACCCAGGATGAAATACTTAAAGAACACTCGAAATCGCCAATACAATATAAAGGGAATAAAATTGTAATCCTGAAGGAGATACCAACATCAATACTTGAAAGAAGGCACAAATACTATTTCCTGACCGACGAATTGAAAAAAAGAAACGTAAAATTTAAGTGGGAAAAGAGGGAAGGCCTAACAACAACATGGAATGAAAACAGGTATTGGTTAACATCCGAAGCAAAAGCAAGAACTTTCTGGGAGAAGTACCTGAAAAAGAAAAACGAAAACAAAAAGGGAAACGAAGAAGAAGGAAGATGGAAGGGTACACCTCAACACAATGAACACATCGATAGCGCAACAATGAGACTTGATCTCCTAGATGAAGACGACAATGAAAAAGGAAGAAAGAGACCAAGAGAAATATCGCCAAGAGACTACACCCTCCAGAAAGACACTACTAAAATAGATATAGACCAATTAGTTAAGAAAAATGATAATGATGGCAAGGAAAATTAGAATTTACTCAAATAATGTTAATGGATTGAATGGCCCATGTAAAAGAAGAAAAATTTGGCATCATCTAAAGAAATGTAACTATGATCTAACCCTCCTGCAAGAAACACACATTTCTAATAAACATATATCTCACTTAGAATGCAAAGCGTTGGGAAAAAGTTATTATGCGTCCGGATTAGAAAAGAAAAGAGGTTTAGTAATGTATGTTAAAGAAAACATCCCTTCAGAGTTGGCGTTTAGAGACTCAGAAGGTAGAATCCTAGGAGTTCTAATAAAAATTGAGGACAAAAATATCTTGGTTTGTAACATATACGCACCCAATGAAGCAAAAAGCAATTTTATAAAAACCCTAAAAAAATACATTCTAGGAACAGAGTACGATGACTTGCTACTTATGGGGGACTACAATGGGGTGGTGGATATAACTAAAGACAAATCTACTAATGCATTAAAAATAAAACAAAAACAATCAGGGGTCCTCCCAAAGACCTTTTTAGAACTAAAAGAAGAACTGGGCCTAACAGACATATGGAGATATCATCACGATAAGGAGACCGATTACACATTTTTTTCCAACAGACACTCAACGTGGTCACGCATCGACATGGCCTGGGTAACCAACACCATCATACCAGATATAACCAAATCTGCAATATTACCCATGATCAACTCTGACCACGCACCCATAGAGTTACAAATTCAAAATCAAAAAGAAAAAAAGACCACTTTCAGATGGCATCTGAATGACAAAATACTTTCAACACCTAAAGTAGTGGAAAAAAAATAAAAAACTATTGAATGAATATTTCAGCCTAAACACAGAAAAAGACACACCCACTAAAATCATATGGGATGCCCATAAAGCATTTATAAGAGGCCACTTGATCGAGCAAGCCGCGAGGATGAAAAAGGCCAGAAACAAGGAACAAGAAAAATTAGAAAAGGAGCTCACTAGACTGGAAGGAAAACTCAAAGCAAACCCGAATGACACCAAAATATGTCACCAATTGAAACTACTAAGAAAAAACATAGATACATTCCAACTAGAAGAGATAGAAAAGAAGCTGAAATACACCAAACAATATTATTTCGAAAACGCAAATAAAATAGGAAAAGCACTCGCTAGAAAAATTGCAGTTAAAAAACAGAGTAGACAAATAACAAAGATAATGGAAGGAGACAAACCCTTGTACAAGACAAGTGAAATTATAAACCAGTTCACGGAATTCTATAAAAATCTATACAAAGACGAAAACATCCCCAAAGAAAAAATAATGCAATATCTAGCAAAACAAACCATTCAAAGAATTTCAGATGACCAACGAGAAAAACTGAATAAACCAATATCTCTAGAAGAAGTCTTAACAACAATTAAGAAATTACCATCAGATAAAGCTCCGGGTCCGGACGGTCTCACGACAGGATATTACAAAATTTTCCAAGATATACTGGCCCCCCACCTGCAGAAAGTTGCGAATAAAGTCATGGAGGAAGGAGAACTCCCCGACACATGGAAGCATGCTACAATCTCATTAATCCATAAGAATAATACAGACAGCACTTCAGTAAAGAACTACCGCCCTATATCGCTCCTCAACACGGACTACAAAATATTCATGGCAATATTAGCATCCAGACTAACCAAGATACTAACAGAAAGAATTGAAGAAGACCAGGTCGGCTTTTTGCCAGGAAGACAACTGAGCGACAACATAAGAACAGTAATTAACATTATCGATTACTACGAAAAGAACATCCAAAAAGAAGCTGCTCTTATGTTCCTCGACGCCGAAAAGGCATTCGACCAAGTCAACTGGGACTTCATTATATGCCTACTCAGAGAAATGGATATAGGGTACCAATATCTAAATGCTATTACCTTTATTTATGCTTCACAACAGACAAAATTAGTTATTAATGGGCAATACTCAGATAACATAGAAATTCAAAAGGGTACCAGGCAGGGGTGCCCTTTATCCCCTATACTCTTTATAACAGTCTTAGAGGTGCTTCTTCAGAGAATTTCGATCAATAAGGAGTTGAAAGGACTGAAAGTCAAAAACTACACATTCAAAACAAGAGCATTCGCAGACGACATTGTCTGCTTTATAGAAAATCCATTGCCCCTTAACCCCCGAAATAACGAGACAGACACAAATGTATGGATTCAAATTGGGCAACTTTTATTGAATGTTACCTATTTAACTTTACCTGAACTAAACTAAGTGTCAAGGAACTTGGTGGCAAGCTGAGGCAGCGTCCCCAGCTACATAATGTGTGATGTCTGTGTGCCCTGGATCCCCAACCGGGCAACCTGAAGGTAAAATCTGGAGAAGCCTGTATTCGATTCTTGATATCAGCTCCTCTCTTTTACTGGGCCAATTGATGTCCCCTCACCCAATTGTTGACTTCTAGGTGAGTGTTTGTTGTACCGTGCCCCCCATCCTTAATGGGTGCCATGTGTATACCTCCATGTCAGTGTTTTTCCTGACTATTTATGCCACAGATTGGGGGCAAATGTCTATTTCGCCCCCATCCCCCACCAAGCCCCTCAAAACTTCCTGGATGCCTAACTGCAAGTCAGCTAAAAACTGTGCGTTGCCCAAATCAGTTAAATGAACGCCATCGAAACGGTAAAACTGCGTTTTGTCATGCGTGATGTCCCTGTGTGGAATGTAAGACCCTCTCCCCCGTGCTAACGCCGTACGCATGGCCCGGTTCACACGCTTTCTGGCCTTCTCGAGCTTCCTGACGTCACCGNTACACCAAGGCTGGCACGGCTACTTATGGAGGGGCAAAGCTCAAAAAGAGAAGTGCTTTAAAAATCACCCAACTAGAGCCGCACTACTCAAAGTCTGGGACAGATACAAAGATAGGTTCTACAGAAAAACACCCCTATGGTTTTCTCCTAACGAAGCGCAACATCTGAGGGACTTGCCTAGAGAGAAATGGCTTACTTACGCCCAGCTTCTGAAAAAAGACCCGCGAGAAACTATGTTAAAGTCCCAGGACGAACTCAAACAGCTGGACAAATCCATTTCCTGGTTCCAGTATCAACAAATAACTGAGAATTACAGAATTGATGTTAAAAATGGATTCCAGAYCCAAGAAACCTTCTGGGACAAAATACTAAAAACCGAAGCTAAGTTYATCAAAAGAGCATATCAACAACTGCTGACATGGGCAACGGAGACAGAACAAGTCAAACAGAATATGATCCAATGGTCCAGAGATATAGGTAGGCCAATAAAAATGTCAGAATGGGAAGAGGTCTGGCGCCAAAAAATCAAATATACATACTCGACTAATATGAAAGAAAACTGGTACAAATCATTTTATAGATGGTACTATACGCCCGAAAAGATATCCAAATTTAGCAGAGGGAGAACCAAAAATACCTGCTGGAAATGTGGGAAACATAAAGGAAGCTACATACACACATGGTGGAAATGTAAAAAAATYAAAAATTTCTGGCAACAAGTTAACAAAACGATACAGACAATATTAGGAGAGAAAATAACATTCAGACCGGAAAMCATGCTGTTGGGAATCACAGACCCTTTACAAAATAAAAATTCAGACAAATTACTCTTCTATTTTACAACTGCCGCCAGAACTGTTATAGCTAAGATTTGGAAATCCCCAGAAATTCCAACGATAGATCAATGGATGTTAAAGACATGGGATATAATGAATATGGATATTCTAACACATAAAATATCCCAAAATGTGCCAAAACCTCCAAAAACTAATTGGGAAAGCTTTATCGATTATGTTAAAAGATGYAATAACGAAATTGATATCAGTATAGAATAATGAAAGCTCCCCAGGGAATATTATTAAGTATCCGACGTATGATTGATAAGCAAAATAGAGGAGCAATAATGCCCTTCATTATAATACCTGCCCAGAATAGCCTTGGAAGTGTTTTTAGGTCACTTAGGGTGTTTTAGGTGATGGGATCTGATGCAATGAGAATATACAATCTGCCCCCTCGCCCCCCCCCACCAGGGATTTTTTCTTTTTTTTCCCTAGGATCCGAAATGTAACATTGTTTTTCCCTTTTCGAATTCAATTGCACATTTAGATTCCCCTACCCCCGAACCGCTTCTCCCACCCTACTATCCCTCACAGGCGGAAGTGGAGAGGAAGGAGAAAGGGGAAAAACTGAATGAAAATAAGAAATACGAATACTCTACATAACATTATTATAACAAATAAATTTAACCATGAGGGAAGCAAGAGGGAGATGTTTTGAAACAGGAACAAATATACTAACATGATATCTAGAAAATCAATACAAAAAATATGTTATATTCAATGTTATTTTGTCTGTTTTGTCTGTATTGTCTGTCACATGCATAGGTAGGTCGTGCGATTGTTATATGTCTACTACCACTATAGATATAAAACCAATAAAATTTAATTTAAAAAAAAAAGTGGGACATAAACACAGTAATTATAATTATTATAACATAAAAATAATAATATTTTTATTATATTATTATATTTACATAATAATAATAATAATAATAATAATAATAATAATATAACAACAACAGCAGCAATTATTATTATACGGAGGTAAAAAGTGTCACATAAATAAACACAATAATTATAATTATATAATAATTTTATTATATAATTATATTTACATAATAACAACAGCAATTATTATTATTATTATCATGTAAATATAATTGTATAATAAAATTATTATTATATAATTATAATTATTGTGTTTATTTATGTCCCACTTTTTACCTCCGTATAATAATAATTGCTGTTGTTGTTGTTATTGGGATTATTATTATTATGCTGTTGTTATTATTATTATTATTATTATTATGCTGTTGTTATTATTATGTAAATATAATTATATTATTATTATATATTATTGTGTTTATTATTGTGTTTATTTATGTCCCCTTTTTATCTCCGTACGGAGACTCACAGCAGCTCGCAACTCAAAGCATTTCAATGCAACTTAAAGCATGCTTGGCTTAGACGATCCTCAGCCTTTGCATGAATCGCACCTTAAGATATACAAGTCTGAAAACAGTATTAAACACCGTTAATATCCAAACAATCCTGGGTAAAGCATATAAAACCAGATCAGAAATGGCAGCACCCTTGGCAGTCTTCCTGATGAGGCTGCAAGGACATGGCTGCGCATTCATGCTCAGCAACAAGCGGAAGGAAAGGCCTTCCAGTGCGCCAGCCAGCCGCGAGAAGGGCCTTTGAGGACTGAGGGGTGAAGTGTCCACTCCCCGGTCACCTGAGGGCCCAGCCAGCCCTCTCCTCTGAGGCATGGTGTGTCCAGAGGCATGGACGAAGAGAGTGGCGGCCCAGCCCAGAGAGGCTCCCACAGCGGAGCTCTTCTAGGATGGACTGGATGACCTCTGGGCACCCCAGCAGCAAATGGAGGGGGAATTGGCCAGACTCCCGTGTTCAGGTGCCTCTCTTTTCTCCTTCTCTCCTTCCTTCCTTCCTTCAGGCTCAGCCCTGAAATCTACCTGAAGCGCCCGGCCCAGTCAGACGAGTGGCGCCTGGACCTCATCCTGAAGCACAAAGCCGTGAGTGGCCTCGAAAGGGCGGGGGAGGTGGAACCTTCCTGCTGCTGGGCCCCTCCTACCCAGTGTCCCCTCTCCACTTCCTCTCTACTTCCTCCCTTTACTTCCTCCTCACCTCCTCCTTCCCTCTCCCCAATTCCTCCCTTTCAAATTCTTCCCTTCCCATGACTTTCCTCCCACTTCCTCCTTTTCTACTTCCTCCCTCCCCACTTCCTCTCTACTTCCTCCCCACTTCCTCCCTCCCTCATTCTCCACTTCCTCTCCCCAATTCCTCCCTTTCAAATAATTCCCTCCCCACTTCCCCTCCACTTCCTCCCTCCCCACAACTTTCTTCCCACTTCCTCTTCTACTTCCTCCCTCCCCACTTCCTCTCTACTTCCTCCCCACTTCCTCCCTCATTCCCCACTTCCTCTCCCCAATTCCTTTCAAAATTTTCCCTCCCCATGACTTTCCTCCCTCTTCCTCCTTTTCTACTTCCTCCCTCCCCACTTCCTCTCTACTTCCTCCCCACTTCCTCCCTCCCTCATTCTCCACTTCCTCTCCCCAATTCCTCCCTTTCAAATAATTCCCTCCCCACTTCCCCTCCACTTCCTCCCTCCCCACAACTTTCTTCCCACTTCCTCCTTTTCTACTTCCTCCCTCCCCACTTCCTCTCTACTTCCTCCCCACTTCCTCCCTCCCTCATTCTCCACTTCCTCTCCCCAATTCTCCTTCCCTACTTCCCCTCCACTTCCTCCCTCCTCACTACTTTTCTACTTCCTCCTGCTCTACTTCCTCCCTCCCCACTTCCTTTCTCCCTACTTCCCACTTTTTCCTCTTTACTTCTTCCCACTGGACTTCCTCCATCCTCACTTCCTTCCTGCTTCCCTCCTTCCTCCCCACTTCCTCCCTCTCCACTTCCTCCTCTCTTTTCCTTCCCTGTCCAGGAGGAGGGGGTCCGCGTCTGCGTCCTGCTCTTCAAGGAGGTGGAGCTGGCCCTCGGCATCAACAGCGGATACAGCAAGAGGGCCCTCATGCTCCTCCACCCCAACATCAAGGTAGGGGGGGTCACATGCTCATGCTCCTCCCCCCGCCCGGAAATGGGGCCCTTCCTCCTCCTCCTCCTCTCCCCCCCCCCCACTTGGGGGTCTTTGCAGGAGGTGGAGAATCCCAAGGAAGGCAACGAGAGGCTGAGAAGGGAAGCAGGGTCCCAGCCCCATCCTGTTGTGGTCCCGGGTATGACCACGACTGTCACACCCGGCATAAGTGGACGCTGCTGTTGTGTTTTGGCCCCATTGGCTCAAGGGCCCACTCCCCCTCTCTGCTCCCGCAGGTCATGCGCCACCCCGACCACGTCTCCTCCGTGGTCTTCCTGTGGGCCCACCACGAGAAGCTGGTGGTGGTGGACCAGGCCGTGGCCTTCCTGGGGGGGCTGGACTTGGCCTACGGTCGGTGGGACAACCACGAGTACCGCCTCTCCGACCTGGATGGGCAGGACTGCCTCGGGACCAAGGTGCGTGCCCCTTTCATCATCATCATCATCCTCATCCTCATCATTATTATCTCCATGCCCTTTGGGTTGTTTTCGGGGCTGTGTGGCCAATATGTTCCAGCAGCATTCTCTCCTGATGTTTGGCCTGCATGTGTGGCTTGTGGCATCTTCAGAGGTTCTGTTGCTGGCAAGGCCAGTGGAGTGGACATTGGCTTTTGGGAAATGTGGCTTGTTGTAGGTATTGATCCTCAAGCTTCATTGGAGACCCCTTTGTTGTAACCCAGGAACAAAACCCGTGTGATACCGTGTGATACCCCTCCCTCCTTCCATCTCTCCCTGCCTGTCTTTCAGGGTGGAGGTCCCGCTTCCAGTGGCGGGGAGGAGCCCCCCATGGACCTGTCGACCAACCAGCGCCTCTGGCTGGGCAAGGACTACAGCAACCTCATTGCCAAGGACTGGGTGCAGCTGGACAAGCCCTTCGAAGGTCAGCAGCTGGAGGAAGGGAGGGTCAACAGGAAGTGGGGTCCGGGGGGGGAGGAAGTGGAGGGGAATGGTGAGAGAGGAAGTGGGGAGGAAATGGACAGGAAGTAAATAGGGAGGAAGTAAAGAGGAAGTGAGCAGGGAGGAAGTGTGGAGGAAGTAGAGAGGGAGGAAGTAGGGAGAGAAGTGGTGGGCAGGAAGTAGAGAGTGAGAAGTAAAGAGGAAGTGAGGAGGAAATGGAGAGAGAGGAAGTGAGGAGGAAATGAAGAGAGAGGAAGTGTGGAGGAAGTACAGAGGAAGTGGGGAGGGAGGAAGTGGAGGGCAAGTGGAGAGGAAATGGGAGAGGCAGGAAGTAAAGGAAATGGTGATAAAGGAAGTGGGAGGAAGTGGGCAGGAAGTAGAGAAGGGAAGTAAAGAGGAAGTAGGGAGGAAGTGGAGAGAGGAAATGGGGAGGGAGGAAGTGGAGGGAAGTGGAAAGGAAACGAGAGGAAAGGGAGGAAATAAAAGAAATGGAGAAAAAAGAAGTGAGCAGGAAGTAGAGAAGGGAAGTAAAAGTGGGGAGGAAGTGAAGAGAGGGGAAGTGTGGAGGAAGTGGGGAGGAAGGAAGTGGAGAAGAAATGGGAGAAGAGGGAGGATGTAAAGAAAATTGAGAGAAAGAAATGAGGGGAACTGGGCAGGAAGTAGAGAGGGAGGAAATGGAGAGAGAAGTGGGCAGGAAGTAGAGGGGGAAGTAAAGAGGAAGTGGGGAGAGGGGATTTGTGGAGGAAGTAGAGAGGGAGGAAGTAGGGAGGGAGGAAGTGAAGAGGAAATGGGAGGAAAGGCAGGAGGTAAAGGAAATGGAGATATAGGAAGTGGGAGGAAGTGGACAGGAAGTAGAGCGGGAAGTAAAGAGAAAGTGGGGAGGAAGTGGAGAGAGGGGAAGTGTGGAGGAAGTAGAGAGGGAGGAAGTAGGGAGGGAGGAAGTGAAGAGGAAATGGGAGGAAAGGGAGGAAGTAAAGGAAAAGGAGAAAAAGGAAGTGGGCAGGAATTAGAGGAGGGGAAGTAAAGAGAAAGTGGGGAGGAAGTGAAGAGGAAAAGTGTGGAGGAAGTGGGGAGGAAGTGGAGAGGAAATGGGAGGAGAGGGAGGATGTAAAGGAAATGGAGAGATAGGAATTGGGCAGGAAGTAGAGAGGGAGGAAGTGGCCCTATCCCCTCCCCTTGTACCCAAATCGGGCTGAGATCTGCTCCTATGGCGGGAGGTGCCACCGCGCAGTGGGCCATGCCCTCCTCATTGGCCCCTGCGTGGGCTCCTTCCCATCCTGCATCCCACTCACGGAAAGCAGCTGATTTAGTCTGGCGTGTCCCTGCGTGCAGGCGGTTTTTGAACTGTTTCAACCCTTTCGAACATGCGTTGACGCATCCCAAAGGCTTCCAGGTGGCTTGGATGGTTCTCCAAAAAACTCAAATCAAAAACAGAACAAAAAATACATACAATGAATGAACAAAGCCACATACATATATGCACAAACACACATATACACACACACACAAAACACATATACATAGACTGGGCCACAGCAATGCATGGCAGGGGACGGCTAGTATTATTATATTATATAGTATGATCTTATGATCTTATATATTGTTATAATACGTTACACTATGTTCCTGGGTTGTCAGTGTCGTTTCCTAATGGGTTCTATCATCGAAACATGAGAAAAGATTGATTAGCTGGCCCTGATTGTTTCTTGTCTGGAATTCCCCCGTTGTTTTCGGGTGTTGTTCTTTCTTTACTGTTTTGCAAATGTTGTTACGTAGTGTTATTGATCAGGACAGTTTGGGCCCATTCAGCCATTCCAAGAGTATGGGAGGGGAAATGGTCAAGGGGTGACCTTTGCGACCCCTTTGACCCCAGAATCACATCATTGTGTCTCCTCCGTCCCTCTGTCCAGACTTCATTGACCGCTGTGAGACCCCCCGGATGCCCTGGAGGGACGTGGGGGTGGCCGTCCACGGAGCCCCCGCCCGAGACCTGGCCAGGCACTTCGTCCAGCGCTGGAACTTCACCAAGGTGCGCCCAGTAGCCGTTGGAGAGAATGGAGCTCATGCTGGAGGTGCCAAGGGCCTCTGAGGAAGTGCAGAGTGCAAGACTGCATGTGTTGTGTGCACCTGCACTGCATGCCTGGGTTTCAGTGGACAAGCAGCCATGTATCTATTATTGTTGTTGTTGTTGTTGTTTACTTATCCCTGGCTAAGGCTCAGCAGAGACTCAGGGATGGGCTAGATGACCTCAAGGGTTCCCAACAGGAACTCGTTGCAGTCTCTATTATTATTATTATTATTATTATTATTATTATTATTGTTTACTTATCCCCGGCTAAGGCTCAGCGGAGACTCAGGGATGGGCTAGATGACCTCAAGGGTTCCTAACAGGAACTCGTTGCAGTCTCTATTATTATTATTATTATTATTATTATTATTATTATTATTGTTTACTTATCCCCGGCTAAGGCTCAGCGGAGACTCAGGGATGGGCTAGATGACCTCAAGGGTTCCCAACAGGAACTCGTTGCAGTCTCTATTATTATTATTATTATTATTATTATTATTATTATTGTTTACTTATCCCCGGCTAAGGCTCAGCGGAGACTCAGGGATGGGCTAGATGACCTCAAGGGTTCCCATTAGGAACTGGCATCATCTTGGGGTACTTTTTTAAGCGGTGGGGGCCTCACCTGTCTCCTGTTTGCCCCCCACAGACCATGAAGTCCAAGTACAAGGGGGCGGAGTACCCCTACCTGCTCCCCAAGTCCCCCAAAGTGGACCCTCACCTGCCCTACCTGGCCCCGGGGTCACAGAGCGTCAACGTCCAGGTAAGGAAGGGGGAGAAGGGAAGAGGGGAGACCCTTCCCCACAAAAGGCATGGGAAGGGTCTCGCTGACGCACACCAAGAGGAGTTTTGGAGATCAGACGAGAGTCAGGACTTTATTTGCACCTTCTTGGCGTTGCCTGGAAGTGAGTCTGTTTTCAATGGCTTTGTGTATGAAGCAAAGCCTTGGGGACAGTGAGCCAACTGGCTAATGCGCCTTCTCCTTCCCTTTTTCCTTCCTCCTTCTCTTCTTTTCTAAATAAATATACTTTGAACTAAATTCTATCCTACTTTAGAATTGCATGCATGAATTTGTAATTTGATAATATTAATAAATAACTTTATTATTGAATCTATAAATAAACTTATAATTAATGATAGTAATTATGCATGTAAAATAAGGTATTTTAAATATGAATTGATAAATGATTTATTTACAAAATTCAAAATTATGGCCTTAATCATGTTAAAAAAATTAGATACTTACTTCCGAAACTTACTAAGTAAATTTCTTCTCAATATCTCAAAACTTAATAAATTATTTACTTCGTTCATTACTCTCTTTTCAAATATTCCTTTTATAATTATTTCCTTCTACCTAATTTACACTACCTAAATAACTTTCTTAATTATTTATTTTCTGACATTTATATGCCTATATTAATAAATTATTATAATTACTCATACCTTAACTAATTTCACTTTATTAATACACTTATATAAAACCATTAACTAAAATTAATTCCTATTTACTTACTCTCTCTTTTAAATACTTCCTTTGTGACACATGAAACCAACCTATAATTTAGTTCCTCCCTCCTCCCTTTCTTAATTATTATTTTTGAATTTAATACTTCTTCTTTACATTATATCCTTCAATCCTAACTAACTCCTTACATTTATTATACATTTTTTATACGTACATTATTACTTTAAAAAGTCATCATTACTTATCTCATAAATACCCTCCATACCTTTTATATCAATACTTCATAAATTACTTCATTCTTTTACAAATATTCACTTTCTTACTTCTTCCTTCATCAAGCGAATTACCAATAATTATTCATCACTACAATACCTTTACTTATAATTAATTCTATTTTATGAATTATTAATTAATTATTTAAATGTATATGGCTGTATTTTATTACGTACTTCTAGTACTGTCCATCATTCTATCAATATTAATTATTTGAACACATTCTCCATTCCAAACTTGTAGAAGTTGGACTCGAAGTCCTTATGTTTGATGGATTGTGCCTCTATGTAGGCAATAGAAACATAATTTATTATAAATGTTTAGGCTTCTTTCAGATTTTTTTCTAGATGTTGGCAGATTGGTTGTGTGTGCATATAATCTTAGTAATGGACAATTTTCCAAAGTTATTCTTTACTTCATTATTTTAATGATGTTTTCTTTCACTGCACAAAGCTTGTTACTTTCATAAATATATACATGTGCTATCAAACTGTGAATTTTCCAGGATTACACATGTGAGAAAGCCTTTTCAAGAAATTTTCTTCCTTTTCTGCCTTATCTCCCTTCTTTCACCCATTCTATCCTTACTTACTTCCTCCTTCCTTTCCTCCCTCCCTTCTTCTCTTCCTCCTTTCTTCCTCCCTCCCTTCTTCTCTCCATCCTTCCTCAATTCCTTCCTTCTTTCCTTCCTCTCTTTTCCACTCTTCCTTGCTCCCTTCTTTCCTCCCTCCCTTCCTTTCTCCTTGCTTCTCTCCTTCCTTCCTTCTTCAATTCCTTCCTTCCTTCCTTCTTTCCTTCCTCTTTTCCACTTTTCCTTGCTCCCTTCTTTTCTCCCTCCCTCTCTTTCTTCTTTCTTTTCTATCTTCTTCCCTTCCTCTTTCTTTTCCATTCATCCTTGCTCCCTTCTTGCCTCCCTCCCTTTCTCTCATCCTTCTTGCCTGCCTTCCTCCTTCCCTACCTTCTTTCCTTCCTCCCTTTTTCTTTCCTTCTTCTTTCCCCATTCTCTCCTTCCTTCCTACCCTTTCTTCCTCCCTTCTTCTCTCCATCCTTCCTCAATTCCTTCTTTCCTTCCTCTCTCTTTTCCACTCTTCTTTGCTCCCTTCTTTTCTCCCTCCCTTCTCCTTCCCTCCTTCTTTTATCCCTCCCTCCCTCCCTCCCTCCCTCCCTCCCTTCCTTCTTCCTTCCCTTTTCTTTTTTTCCTTCATTCCCCCATTCTCCCCTTCCTTCCTATCTCCCTCCTTCCTCCCTACTTCTCTCCATCCTTCCTCAATTCCTTCCTCTTTATTTCCACTCTTCCTTGCTCTTCTTTCCTCCCTCCTTCCTTTTCTCCCATCCTTCCTTCCTCCTTTCCTCCATTCTATCCTTCCATCCTACTTTCCTCCTTCCCTTTTTTCCTCCCTTCTTATCTCCATCCTTCCTCAATTCCTTCCTTCTTTCCTTCCCCTCTCTTTTCCACTCTTCCTTGCTCCCTTCTTTTCTCCCTCCCTCCCTTACTCCTTCCCTCCCTTCTTTCTTTTTTGCCTTTTCTTCCTTCTTTCCCCCATTCTACTCTTCCTTCCTCCCTACCTCCCTCTTTCTCTTTCTTCCTCCCTTCTTCTCTCCATCCTTCCTCAATTCTTTCCTTCTTTCCTCCCTCTTTCTTTTCCACTCATCCTTGCTCCCTCCTTCCTTCCTCTTTTCCTCCATTCTATCCTTCCTTCCTTCCCTTCTTCCCTCCCTCTCTCTTTTCCCTTCAGGTCTTGCGCTCGGTGGACCGCTGGTCGGCCGGCCTCCACGAATGCTCCATCTACAAGGCCTACCTGAGCGCCATCCGAAACAGCCGCCATTACCTCTACATCGAGGTGGGGGTCGGCCGGGGGGGGGAGGGAGACCCTTAATTGGGGATTTGGGTGGGGGGGCCCCATTTGCAACGGGAATCTCATTTGTGTGGAGTTTCAGACTGAAACAATTAGAACTCCTGCATTTGGTGCCAAGTGCCTCTGAGGAAGTGCAGAGTGCAGAATGCATGCATGAGTTGTGCACTTTTGCACAACTCTTTCGCACAACTTTTACCCTGTTGTTTCTCCTGCCGCAGAACCAGTTCTTCATCTCCTGTGCGGACGGGCGCTCGGTGCTCAACACGGTGGGCGACGCCATTGTGGAGCGCGTGCTCCAGGCGCACAGGTGAGTTGTCCAGGGATCAATCATCTCGTCCCACAACCCT